CAGGAATAAAAGAACTACTGAATATCAGGAAACCCATTAATATAATTTGCCATCTTAATAGATCTAAGTTGAAATTACATGTTCTTCTCAATAGATCACAAAAAAATCATTTAACAAAATTCAACACCTAATCTGTTTTTTTTAATTGATGAGATAGGAATCAATGCCTACTTTCTTAAAAGACAAAGCATGTATCATAGAATGGAGAAACATTGCTTCAATTAAGGTAGGACAAGCACAAAGAAACCTACTATTGCCACTACTGTTTGACCTTGTAATACAAGTCTCTGACAAATCAAAAAAACAAGCAGAAACAATCAGAGGCATAAAAATTATAAAGAGTAAAAATATATCTCTGTTAAGAACATACAAAATCATAACTTGAAAACCTAAGAGAATATTAAAAAATAGGGCCGGGCGCGGTGGCTCACGCCTGTAATCCCAGCACTTTGGGAGGCCGAGGCGGGTGGATCACTAGGTCAAGAAGAGACCATCCTGCTCAACATGGTGAAACCCCATCTCTACTAAAAATACAAAAAATTAGCTGGGCATGGTGGCGCGTGCCTGTAGTCCCAGCTACTCAGGAGGCTGAGGCAGGAGAATTGCCTGAACCCAGGAGGCGGAGGTTGCAGTGAGCCAAGATCGCGCCATTGCACTCCAGCCTGGGCAACAAGATCGAAACTCCATCTCAAAAAAATTAATTAATTAATTAATTAATAATAATAATTTTCAATAAGAATTCAGTAGGAAATCAGTAGAAATAAAATTAGCATATCAAAACCATAGGCTTTATATATACAAATTATAACCAATACAAAAATGCAATGGGGTAGATCGAATCAAACTATAGACATAAAGACATATGTCAACACAGCTATTTCAAAATAAGACATATTCTAGCAGATTAAAACATAGAATAATTAATCTAATCAATAAATTGATTTATATAACCTGTCGTCATACATAAATTTCATTATTGGTATAAGAATTTTACCTTTTTGTTTGTTCATAGAATATTCAAAGTTAATCATGTGCTTGGGCACAAAGAAAACCTTGACAAATTCAAAAAGTAGATTTTTCTGGGTATTTATTTATATTTATATTTTATTTTATTTTATTTTATTTTTGAGACAGAATCTTGCTCTGTTGCCCAGGCTTGAGGGCAATGGCACGATCTTGGCTCACTGCAACCTGCGCCTCTCGGGTTCAAGCAATTCTCTTGCCTCAGCCTCCCAAGTAGCTGGATTACAGGTATGCCCCACCACGCCCAGATAATTTTTGTATTTTTAGTAGAGAAGAGGTTTTACCATGTTGGCCATGCTAGTCTCAAACTCCCGACCTCAGATGATCTGCTCCCCTCGGCCTCCCAAAGTCCTGAGATTATAGGTGTGAGCCACCATGCCCAGCAAGGTATGTATTTATTGTAATCTATTTTTAACAAAGGAAAAAAATTAAACTGTGATCTAAAATTGGTAGCTGCTTGGTAATTAAGAAATTCTCTTAGACTATCCCCAAATCCCTGGAGAAATTAAAACTAAAATTAAAAACTGTCTAAGAAGAAACAAAATAGTAAAAAAAAACTTATAGGAAATGCATGAGATATATCAAACTCAGTGCCTAGAGAAAAATATATAGTCTTAAGTGTATACATATCAAAGAATTTAAAACTATTTTAAGAAGTTTTAGGGATAAAAGCAAAAACAAAAGGAAAATAATTAAAATAATAGCTCAGAATAATGAAATACGATCTTGGAAATATTTTCAAATGGATAAATACCTAAATAAATGGACCTTAAAAAGACCAACAAAACTTAAAACCCACTAATAAATCATATTTTTTATTATTATACTTTAAGTTCTGGGGTACATATGCAGTTCGTGCAGGTTTGTTACATAGATATACATGTGCCATGGTTGTTTGCTGCACCCATCCTCCCATCATTTACATTAGATATTTCTCCTAATGTTACCCCTGCCCTATCCCTCAACCCCCTGCTAACCCTCCCCTAGCCCTCCTACTCCCCAACAGGTCCTGGTGTGTGATGTTCCCCTCCTTGTGTCCATGTGTTCTCATTGTTCAACACCCACTTATGAGTGAGAACATGCTGTGTTTGGCTTCCTGTTCTTGTGTCAGTTTGTTGAGAATGATGGTTTCCAGATTCATCCATGTCCTTGCAAAGGATATAAACTCATCCTTTTTTATGGCTGCATTGTATTCCATGGTGTATATGTCCCACATTTTGTTTATCCAATCTATCATTGATGGGCATTTCGGTTGGTTCCAAGTCATGGCTTATTGTAAACAGTACCGCAAGGAACATGTGTGTGCATGTGTCTTTATAGTATAATATTTTATAATCCTTTGGGTATATACCCAGCAATAGGACAGCTGGGTCAAATGGTATTTCTATTGCTAGCTCCTTGAGGAATCGCCACACTGTCTTCCACAATGGCTGAACTAATTGACACTTCCACCAACAGTGTAAAGGTGTTCCTATTTCTCCACATCCTCTCCAGCATCTGTTGTCTCCTGGTTTTTTAATAATCACCATTCTAACTGGCATGAGATGGTATCTCAGAAGAAACAAAGAGAGAGTACGTAAATCTATGGCAAAAAAAATCAATCCTTATCTTCTAGTGCGACAAATATTTAATTAGGTCAGGATTTGGTTCAGAATAATTCAGAGGATGAGCTTTGAAACTGGATGAGGAATACATGGGAATTCATTATACTACTGTCTAATTTTTTTAAAATTGCACATTTCCATTTGAAGCTACAATTCTATTTTTATTTTTTCATTTATCATTATTTATTTGTTCTAGTCACCTGTTAAAAGAAAAAAAAAAAAAAAAAAAAAAAAAAACCTGTCCTACTTCTACTTCTCTCATTATTCTACTGAAAATGCTATGGCCAAAATCACCAATGACATTCTAATTGCCAAATTCACTGACCTTTTCTTTTCTATCTCTGTAACATTCTGTGTGATTTTCTGCATGGTGACAGGCACATCTAGGTTTCAATTGTCATCCTAAGTCTGATAACCCCTTGTCTGTTACCCCCTGAATGAACTCAATCTCATCCAAGGATGATAGCCCTGTAATCTATTGTCAAGTTCCCAAACTAATTTTTTTTTTCTGTCAATTGCATGTCCTGTTAGCACCTTCAGCTTAACCAAACCAGTGCTTACCAAGTTCTTCCTCATCCTGTTTGCACTTCCTTCCATATTTTAGATCTTATTAAATGACACCTTTGACTAGCTGGAATGGCAGGTGGAATGGCAGCTGGAAGGGTATCTTTGACTAGTTCTCCCTAGCTAAGGACTTGATTTCCTTTTTGACCTGCATCTTACTTATCTCTCACATCCTATCTCTTTCTCTAATTTGGCTACATCTTTGAATCTTTACCGCCACTACCAGTCAAAACTAAAATGAGACAAAAGTCTTTCAGCACAGGAATTCTACTCTTAAGAATCAGTGGCCTAGAAACAAAATTATCAACATGGAAGAGCATAACAGGAGTTGCCTATATACCCTCTTGGTCCTCCCACTCCCCTAGGCCCCAGAGTCAAGGGTCAAATCAATAAATAATTCCATGGCAGCTGGCAACCCTAACAACAAGCCTACCCTGATATGGGATTGGTGAAGGGTGGGAGTTCATCCCCACAGCTACCAGCAGTGTTAGTTACTGTGGCTTGCAGATTCTAGAAGATTTAGGAATAGCTCTTGAGAAAGAAGGGAAATAGCACCTTAAGGGCAGCCAGATGCTCAATGTAAAGGCTAGGTATCCTTGCCTCCATAAAGGATGACTCTGAAGGACCACCCCACATCCAGAGCACCTGGTGGGGTCGGCCAGGGCTGCTTCTGTTACAACCACATCTCTGTTCACCTTCTGCTCAAACCTGCTTCCCTTAAACAATTACAGATGTGGTTCCCAAAAGCGCTTTACAGAAAACTCCCTAGGTACAGATTCCTGCCACAGAGTCTTTTCCCAGAAAACCCAAATTAATACTATGGTAATTGCTGACAGGTCATATATTATATGCCAAGAACTCCTTCAAGTGCTGTATGTCTCTAAACTTATTTAATCTTTACAAAATCCCTAGGTAATAGGAAACATTGTCTCTAAGACCACACAGCTGCTGAGTGATAGAGCCACAATTTAAAATCAGGATCCTTAGTCCATTTTCTTAACCCTAAAGTCTCCCTAGTAATATTAAGTATATTGTTTAGTATTGTTTAAAAATGAAAGAGATAAATAATAATAATACACAAAGATGTGCAGAGAGATTAGAAGAAAGCTTGATATGTTTGAGGTAATAAAAAAAAAAAAATTCTATTTTGACCAAAGGGAAGTAGCCTGCATTGAGGTCAGAAAACAGGCAGGGTGAGGCCTTTGGAGATGAAGCTCATCTTGGTTGTGTAAAAGGCATGTTTTTGGATTGCAGCAGAAGTCCTCTAGCTCTTGATCTGATGCATACCATGTTTGCCCACTCAAGGAATCCAAAAATGTTTTATGTGCCAAGTTACAGAGGCAATTCTGACAAGAAATGGTTACCCATGTCTTATAAATGAAATTGGGCTATAATGGCTCAGTGTATCCAGCCAGTTGTCTGGTTTCAGGGCGATGGTTTATTTCCTGGATGACTGCCTAACTAAATATCATTGAGACCTCCCCATGGGAACACACATATCTTCAAACATCCTAAATTTTGAATGGTCATTCCATTTTGTGATACTAGCCAGCTATTTATCTCAATGATCTTGAAATCTTTTTCCTCTTCACTGACCCCTACCAAATGTTAACTAATCCTGGAGAATGTAATTCTAACTCCTAAATTGGATCTCTTTAGTCATGCACGTCTAACTTTATTCAAGGCCTCTAATGATCCCTTACCTGACAGCTCTTTCTATATGTGATGTCAGACCTCTATCTGATAGCTCTCTTAGGACTTCTGCGCCCCTTGGTTCTTTCACTCCACTAGGACCCAAGGTCAAGGGTCAAACCAATAGATGATTCCATGGCAGTTGGCAGTCCTGATAGCAGGCTGGCCCTGATAGATACAGAAGTGGTGAAGGGTGGGAGTTATCTATCTTCTCTGTTTTACAGGCTGCTTCAGATTCTGCTGCCACCAATGCCTCAGCAACCACTGAAAATTCAGATATCGCCCTTCCTGTAACTAACCAAATCAAGGAAGACACCTACAAAATACTGGTGGCGTTTCCAGCTAGAAATTTTCACTCACAATGGTGCAAATTTCACATAGAAGTATCCAGGGTATGAACACACTTTTCTCCTCCTGGGCCATAGTCTTATTGGTGATGGGAATCGCCATAGAGGAATGGGTTGAATTGATTCCGGAAGACGAAAGAGCCAAGATGAACCACAGTCCATGGATGAGGTGTTGCAATGCTCTTTGGCCAGAAGGTCAGAACTGTACTCTAGAAATAGATGGGTAGAAAGGAAGGGTGTCCTTAACTTTCCTTAACTTGCATTAATCTAAGAGTGTACCCATTATTTTCTGGCGCAGCTTCTCAAGTTGCAGTGTTCCCCTTCCATAGTCAATGCAGTCAAAGCAGACTCCAAAATCTCACCATTTAGGCATTCTGGAGAAAAGTTTGTATGCTCACAGCCTTAACTGCTGGATATTTGAGAAGTCTCAGCAGTAGCAGTAGGGTGATGAGCACAACTAGACATGTGGGTAAGAAAGAAAGGTAACTGGCATTAAATAGTCTATATTGCCAGTAGAAGATGATGATAGGGTGAATTGGGGTATTTAACAAGAAATGAGTTCGAAGAAAATAATAGAAAAGAAAGACACATACAGAGACAACAGAATAGAGAACAACTGTTTCTGGTTGTCTTTCTCATTCAGCTTAAGGTTCCTCTGCCTCTTTGTTCTTTTACAACTTCTTTCTTATTATTTAATCAAATCTTTCACCCTATTCCAATTTTAACCTAGAGATTTCTGGACCCCAGGTGGAAATGCCTAGAAGAAATATATGTCCTCTCAAAACAGCTTCTGCTTTCCAACAGATGACCTAAGAGTGGTCAGGATTATGATGATGTCAAGCCTTGGCCTTTCCTTCCTCCTTAATTTGATCCTGGGTATGAAATTAACCTATCTGATTCCTCAAAACAAATATATACACCTCTTCACTACCATCCTCAGTTTCTTATCAGGTAACTTCCTGGCTCCCGTAACACAGGTTTGTAGGTGTACTTTGATGGGTGGGTTCAGGCTGCAGTCCCTGAAAACCATATATATAGAGATACAGCTATATATATATGCAGCTTCTGAGTTAAATGTGCCACAAAAGCAGAATCAGGGTCAGTCTTTGGGCAAGGTGCAGTTAAACCGGGTGGAGGTTGGGAAGTCAAGTGTGTATTGAATGAAGACTTGCATCAAGGAGCCAAAGTTCCTCAAAGGGACTTTTTTTCCTTTTGTTTGGACATTAGGTATCCTTCTCCTCTGGGCACTCGTATTATATCACAACAAGCTGAAGCAAGGTCAATCTGTCCACTTCTCTAGTTACAATATCAACTGGATCATGTACACTGCCTACTTAAACATTTTCTTTCTTTTTGTCTGTGGTGAGTGCCTCCAGGGCCCTTGAAGGGTGTTAAGAACCAATCTATGCCCGACAGAGGGAAGGGTAAAAGGTTGGGATAGGGGAATAGAGAGGGGAGTGCCAAACCTTGCATTTTAAAAGGCTGCAGTTCACCTGGATTCATTCTCTGAGGACAGTTCCTCCAAGGAGAGTGGGAGGTCAGGCCTATGTAAGATGTCTACTGTACCTGGCCTCAGAGGGTAGGCCAGGTACAGTAGACATCTCCACCTTTTCTTTTGCCTTTCATACCCTCCCCACTTTAGTGCATCAAAGTCATGACCAAGTTGGGTGTCTGAGACAGAATGCTCAGCCACTGTGGAGATGAACAGTCACCCTGGGAGTACACTGTAGCGTCAAGGCAGTTTGAGGGCAAAGAGAAATAATATCTGATGCTAGATGACCATCTACCAAAACCGAAATCTCTCCTTTCCTAAGAAGTCTTTAAAATTTCATTTGCAATTGCACTTCCTACCCCAAGAAGGAGCATGCTCTCTTTCAAAAAGAATCCTCAATTTTCTTAAGCTGAGCAGCATTTAAGCTATTGTGCATACACTTCCAGTTTCTTCCACTAAAGCATTCACCTCCCAGATGGCTTTGGGTAGTTAAAAGGGATCCACTGAGCTTTGGGTCAGGGTCTTCAACTAAATTGGAGGGAATTGTTTCTGTGACTCTTTGTTGTCCCTTCATCCCATTCCCTGGAATCTCTTTTCCCTAGGAATCTTCTCTCTACTAGAGTACCAGTTGTCTACTGGTTGCTGTACCTGGCTGAACATCCATAAATCTGACAATGAATGTAAGGAATCTGAGAATTGTATCAAAGGTATTTCATTACCAGAACACGCTGCAATGCCTCATGGCATTGTCCGTTCACACACTGTGAATTCAAAGGAAGGAACTCTAAACAAACAAACACGTCGCGTAACCTGGGCTCTGTGATTTGGCCATCTATTTCTTGCAGTATATGCTCATCTTTATGGAAAAAACTTTGTGGGTGTGTGCTATGTCTCCAACTATGTTGCCTCTATTTGACGTCTTGGTCGGGGTTTGTAAAAAGATCGGGAAGATGGCTTTTTAAATAAATCCTGGCGTGCTGAACAGTTTCTTCTGCAACATTTGTTGTTAATATAATAAATATTATCATATAAATAATACTTGCTGTATTGTCTATATATCACAAAGATTTATAATGATTAACAGTTTTATTGCTATTGTGAAATATTTCAAAGATACATAAAAAATAAAACAATTATCAAATATCTATGTACATATCACCCAACTTTATAAAAATTTAACATTATTTCTTTGAGAAGTTTTCCAATTAAATTTGCAGATATAACTGATGTTCCTCTAAAAACTTCTCTAGTGTCATTTCCCTCCCTTGTTTCCTATCATAAAATGCAGGATGCATTGCTGATTATTTTACATTCATGTTGGCATTTTTACTACAAATGTATGCATCTATAAAAATTATAGAGACCAGCTTTTCAAATGTTTGAAAGTTAGCAAATATCATATTGTAGATATCATGTTATATTTATTTTAATGAATTGCTGAAATAAATCTTCTAATTATTTTAGAATTCCTGGGTATATCCATATAAGTAAAACTTGGTTCCTTCATATCTTTTTGTAGTTCATATTTTGTGGTGCTAAATAATATTCCATTGTAAGAATGTACCACAGTTTATCTATTTCACCTACTGAGGGATATCTTGGTTGTTTCCAAGTTTGGGCAGTTATGAATAAAGCTGTTATAAACGCCTATGTGCGGGTTTTCATGTAGACATAAGCTTTCACCTTTTTTGGGTAAACACCAAGGAACATTATTGCGGGTTATATGAGAAGAACGTGTTTAATTTTGTGAGAAACATTCAAACTGTCTTCCAAGGTGGTTGTACCATTTTGCATTCTACCAGCAATACATGAGAGTTCCTGCTGCACCACATCCCTGCCAGCATTTGATGTTGTCAGCATTTTGAATTTTGACCATTTTAATAGGTGTCAATGTGTCTCACTGTTTTCATTTGCAATTCTCCAGTGACATAAAATGTGAAAATCATCTTTTCATATGGTTACTTGGTATTTAGGAGGTATCTGTTCCATTCTTTTGCCTGTTTGTAATCAGCTTTTTTCATTTTTTTGTTGAGACTTTAAATGTTATTTGTATATTTTGGATGACAGTCCTTTATCAGATATGTCTTGCAAATATTTTCTCCCAGCCTATGGTTTGTATTTTCATTCTTGACAATGTCTTTTGTAGCATACTGGTTTTTAATTTTAATAAAGTCCAGTTTATTAATTCTTACTGTGCCTTCAGTGTTCTATAAAAAAGTCATAATCATACCCAAATTCATCTAGATTTTCTCTTGTCTTATCTTCTAGTCTTATCTAGTTCCATGATTCATTTTGATTTAATTTTTTAGAAAGGTGTAAGGTCTGTATTCATATTTCTTTGTTTGCATGTTGATGTCCAGTTGTTTTGGTACCATTTACTGAAAAGCCATCACTGGATTTCCTTTGCTCCTGGGTCTATTTCTGGGCCCTCTGTTCTATTCCATTGATCTATTTTTTCCACCGATATCACATTATCTTGACCCTACAGCTTCGTAGTAAGTCCTGAAGTCAAGTAATGTTAGTCCTCTAATGTTGTTCTTCTGAAATATTGTGTTAGCTATTCTGGGTCTTTTGAATCTCCCTATAATCTTGAGAACCCAGTTGTCAATGTCTACAAAACAACTTGCTGAGATTTTTATTGGAATGCGTTGCAACTGTAGATTAAGTTAGACAAAACTGGCATCTTGACAATATTGAGTCTTCTTATCCATGAAGATGTAATATATACACACTTACTGAGTTAATTTTTTATCAGAGTTTTGTAGTTTTCCTCATGGATTTTATCACAGTTGGTGCAAAATTAATTTTTTTTGCCATTACTTTTAATGGCAAAAAAAAATTACTTTTGTACCAACATAATAGTTTGCTAGATTTATATTTAAGTATTTTAATTTGGGGGATGCCAATGTAAATGGGATTGTGTTTTTCACATTTCAGATTCCACGAGTTCATTTCTGGCATATAAGAAAGTAATTGAATTTTGTACATTAACCTTGTGTCCAGGAGTTTTGGGGTTTTTTTTTTATCTTTTAGGTTTTCTACACATACGATCCTCCCATCTGTGAACAAAGACAGTTTTATTTATTACTTCCCAATTTGGATACATTATCTTTTCTTCTTGCACTGCTAGCACATCTAGTATGATGTTGAAAAGAAGTGATTAGAGGAGACATACGTGCTTTGTTTCTGATCTTAGTGCGAAAGCTTCTAATTTCTCACCACTGAGTATGATGTTTAAGTAGATGTTTTTCTAAATGTTCTTTATCAAATTGAGGTAGTTTCCCCGTGTTTCTTATTTTGAGAAAGTTTTTATTATACATGGGTGTTGGATTTTGTCAAACACTTTTTCTGTATCTATTGGTATGATCATGTGATTTTTCTTTGTTAGCCTGTTGATGTGAAGGGTTACGTTAGCTGATTTTCAATGCTGAAATATTTTGTTACGGATTTTTGCATCTACCTTCATAAGAGATGTTCTATAGTTTATTTCCTTATAACATCTCTGTCTGGTTTTGGGTAACATTACCCTTATAGAATGTTAAAAATTTCTTCTGCTTCTGTCTTCTGGAAAAGGTTATTGAAAATTGGTATAATTTCTTTTTTAAATGTTTAGTACATTTCAGAGGAGAACCTATCTGGGCCTTAAGCTTTCCATTTTGGAAGGTTATTAATCATATATTCAATTTATTTAATAGATATCGGCCTATGAAGATTGTTTGTTCTTATGTGGGTTGTGGCACAATGTTTCTTTCAAAGAATTGGTTATCAAATTTGTGGGCATAGAGTTATTCACAGAATTACTGTATTATTATTTTACTCCCCATGGGATCTGTTGTTATATGCCCCCTTTCATATCTGATATTAGTAATTTGTGTCTTCTATCTTTTTCTCTTAATTAGCCTGGCTGGAAGTTTATTAATTTTACTAATCATTGTGTAAAACCAGTTTTTGGTTTTCTTTAATTTTCTCTATTGATTTCCTGTTTTCAACTTCATTGACTCCTCTAATTTTTTTCTTCTGATTATTTTGGATTTGATTTACTCTTCTTTTTCCAATTTCCGAAAATGGAAGTTTAAATTACTGATTGTAAGTACTTCTTCTTTTCAACTATAATTGACCCTTGAGCAACACAGGTTTGACCTGCATAGGTCTGCTTATACATAGATTTTTTTTCAATAAATATGTGGCAAAATATTTCGGAGATCTGTGGCAATTTGAAAATTCTTACAGACATAGACTAGAAATATCAAAAAAATGAAAACATTAGGTATGTCATGAATGCATAATACATGTAGATACTAGTCTATTTTTTCATTTACTACAACATTATATACACAGATCTGTTATAATAAGTTAAAATTTATCAGTATATGCATGCAAACACAGAAAATCCATGGTAAATTTGCAGTTGAGAGAAATACAAAAAGAAAAGATGCAGTGTTAAATCAAAACTGCATAAAATGTGCTGCAGTACCTACTGTACTACTGTAATTATTTCATAGCCACCCCTGTTGCTATTGTGGTGAGCTCAAGTGTTGCCCATCCACTGAAAATGTCATGACGCTAATCATATCCATGTGAGCAGTTTATCTTTCCGGTAAATTGCATATCAGAGTAAAAAAGCAATCTCTCATGATTCTTGCATATTTTCATGTTATGTGCAATACAGTAAATCTTTAATAACACCATGGAGCTCATATGAAATACCACTAGTGATGCTGGAAGTGCTCCCAAGAAGCGAAGTCATGAGGTTAAAAGAAAAAGTTGAATTGCTTGATAGATATCATAGACTGAGGTTTGCAACTGCAGCTGATCACTGTTTCAAGACAAGTGAATTAAGTGTAAGGATCACAGTATGAAATGAAAAAGAAATCTGTGAAACTATCACTGAAGTTATGCCAGCAGATGAAAAAAAAAAAACTTGTACTTTTTGCTAAATACCTTTTAATATCATATTGAAAATGTAGCTTTCGGCCAGGTACAGTGGCTCACACCTGAAATCCCAGTACTTTGGAAGGCTGAGGTAGGCAGATCGTCTGAGGTCAGGAGTTCAAGACCAGACTAGCCTACATGGGGAATCTCGTCTCTAGTGAAAATACAAAAATTATCCAGATGTGGTGGTGGGTGCTTGTAATCTCAGCTACTCGGGAGACTGAGATAAGAGAATTACTTGAACCCAGGAGGCGGAGGTTGCAGTGAGCCAAGATTGCAGCATTCCACTCCAGCCTGGGCAACAAGAGCAAAACTCTTAAGAAAGAAGCAAAGGAAGGAAGGAAGGAAGGAAGGAAGGAAGGAAGGAAGGAAGGAAGGAAGGAAGGAGGGAAGGAGGGAAGGAGGGAAGGAGGGAAGGAGGGAAGGAGGG